AGGCGTTACTAACATATGTATAAGCTAGAGAGACCGATGGAATAAGCTAAAAGTAAAGTATGATAGGCAAATCTCACATACTACCTCTTTAAAGAAAATCGCACACTTCAACATTAACAAATTTAGTACATCGAGCACTTAAACAAAGGCAATTTTTAGGAATAAACTCATACTTAAGTCACAAACACACACACATGAATGCTATTGTAGTCGCATCGAGAAACAGATATACGATACACGAGCTACATATTAGCTAGCTCTAAGACTCCAACTTCATTTTATTTTATTTTATATTTTTTTTTGAAAGGGAAATAACATTCACAGTAGTAGAGAAAAGGGAACTTTATATGCTAATAGGCCAGAATACAAAAAAATATATAAGAATATTCAATGACAAATTAGTAAGTGAATACGAGATAGTGATAGTTAAATAGTCTTAAAATGAACACCAAGAGACAGTGAAATCGAACAAGAAACAAACATCAACATCATTAATTATTAGGGATTTCATTTGAACGAAATGAACCCTTTAACATGACAGCTAACTCGAAAAAGAAATTTGAAGACTCATACAAACAACAACACTTACAAGAGCACATTTTATATCTCAAACGAACAAGGAGCCGACTCTAACTCAATCACTAGGCTACGACATAAGCCAAGAATCGAGTAAAACAAAGTCAGTCGAGAAAGGAAGGGGAAAGATAAATCAGTAAACAACCTCAACATCATTGAAACAGTACATTGACTAAAGAGTTGGAATTGACAACGGAGTTTACCTTCTTGTGTGCAGTGAACGGGAACGGGACGAGCGAAGAGCTGACCTTCCTACCACGAGAACTCGAACACGAACAGCGGATAAGGAATTTGAGCCGACAACTGAACCCAAACACCAAAAATAAAAAATAAAAACTTATTGTATCCTCGACCTCCAAAATGTATTTCTAGCTTTTTAATACTAATGTTCAAGCCCTTTCTTTGAATTGTTTCTGCTAAATTGAAATCCAACTCAAAAAAAAAATTCCCCCCTTCAACTGAAGGTGTATCTGAATCTTTATAGCCTAGACTCTTTTTTTTAAGCGGGAATTGAAGAACAAAAAGTTGTTTGAGTTTTTGAAAAAAGCATGTTGAGGTCAGTCCAAAATGTGACAGAGAGATCAACAAAGTCGTCCTTTTTCTCCATAGTTGCAGCGATTTTGGTCAACAAAAAGTAGAAAATTTCAGCTTTTCAAGAAGGAGATTTAATGTGCAAGGGAGAGAGGAAAAACTTAGCTAAAAATAGTGAAACCAATCTGAATTATGATGGAAACAAATTGGGATTTTGCTAAGAAAGGAAAAGGAAGAGATGCTATGAGTCTTTATGAGTTTGAATGATAGAATAAGGATGACAACCTAATAGATTGGGCTGGACCTATTTCTGATATTTGTAATGAAGAGGGCTGATGGGTTTTGGGCCTTATTAGGCTATACGTATAGAGTTGGGTCTTTGGTGTGATAGGAATAAAGTATAGGGTGGAAGTTTGCTAAAAATGCAAAATGCAATTCCAAAGTTTGGTCATTTAAGATGGGTCAAGGATGAAATTAAATTGGTTAGATTTCATAGTTTAAGTGATAGACAAACTTAGTTAAATTAACAAATTCGGCTAAAACCTAAAATAAGATGAATTAATGTTAATATGAAGGAAAAAATAGTATCGTTCAGTCACTATTTGTTATTTTTGTTACTAGTTGTTTTTGTTACTATATATCATCTATTGTAACTTTATTATGTTTTTTTCTAAACTGTTTTTGTTTTAGAATCAGGGGTTTATCAGAAACAGTCTCTCTACTTCATCTCGGAATCAAAGATAAAATGTGCATACACTCTACCCTTCTTAAACTCCACTAAAACTACGAATATGATATTGTTGTTGTTGTTGGGGCAAGTAATATGAAAAGGAGCCAACCATTTGAATTTTTATTTCTTTCCCAATTTAAGAGTGTAAAGATATTTTTTGCACTGTCCATCATTTTATATTTTTGATTCAAATTAATATGACTAATCTTCATAACTAAATAAAATTAGATTAATTCAATATTTTAAATTTTAAAATATTGAACAAGGTAAAACACAAATGAATGAGGTTACTATGACATTCAAAAACAATCAATTTGCTACAATGAAATATTGCAATTACAAAATGCAAGTGTCATAAACATAATATAATAAAAGAAAGCAAGTAAAAAAGAATGATATGTTTTTTCAACAAAAAATCAAAAGTTGCACATCCTCTTACAAAATAGCATTACAAGTGCACCAAAATACTGGAAAACTTCTTCTTTTGCAAGTATTACAGCAATGGGGGAAAGAACTGAGGTTCCAAATATGTAACTTGGTTCAAATAATTATCCAGTAATCCACTTCCAAGCCCCGCCCGAGCCCTGTTTCTGGACAGATGAAACACGCTCCATGTCGCGTTCCAATTCAGACTTCTCCTTTCGTAGAGCTTGAACTTCCTCCTCTATGGACTGCATAGACTCTAGCATCTTTTTTAGCTCTGCTATTTGTGCCTGAAGATACCATGAAAAAGTCACAAACAAAACCACGAACGCCTTTTAATATTGGTCGGATTGAAATGAGAGGAACAACTAAACCATAAATTGATCATATTGCTCTTATATAGAATGTGCTTGGTGAAACTATAACGTTATGATTATGTTTCGCTGGCTATCAACTTACCACGACCCTCATCCTTTATTCTTGAGACCAGCTATACGAAACTTACATAGGTGAGTTGACCCCCAACTGGTTTTGAATCGCGACATAATTTATTGATTGCTATAAATATAGGATAGGATGGGGGAATTAGAACTTAAGCTCAAAAAAAGTGTCAGAGCTTTTTCTGTACTCCCAGAGCACTAATTTCGGCCAAAAGATTTTGCTGGGTGCTATCAACGTGAACTTCCTTAAAACTGGTATCTTCTCTCTACGGATAAGTCTAACTTTTCTGGTTTAGTTAAGGCATATGCAGCTCTAACAGAAGCTGCTGCTGCTTCGGCTGCTGGTGACTGAAGTATCTTGGGATGTAATACATCCCTTGGTTTAGGCCTCATAACATATACCTATACGAAATGGAATGCAGTAATTTAGGAAAGAAGGCCTCATAGGCCGTCGTACAAAAAATTTAACATAAAGGCAGTAGGAGGTTGTACAGAAAGTGAATGGAGAATTCGATATTGAGAATATTGAGAAAATGAATTGGATTTGGAACTTATCAACATATAGGATTTTATCCATTTATCCATTTATCTATCACCCCAAAAGAAACTAAGGTAGTCGTGGAAAAGCGAATATAGGATTTTATAAGATACCTCATTATTGTACTTCCCGTTGTATCCACCAAAAGCAACCAAGAAATTCTCACCATCAAGTGATGCTGAAGAGACACTCAGTCCCTGTTTCAAATGTCATATCAGATAGAATTGTAAACAAGCCTAAAGATCAATAAAGGAAATAAAATACAACCTCAAATAAGTTTAGGATTACTGGGAAATCATACTGACATAGGCAATGGCTACTACATGAACATATTTAACAGGGTTATCCTAAGCAAAGAAGCTGAACAATGAAGAGCAAAACACAAGCATACCAGCATACAAATGCTAAGAACTCAAGAATCAAAGTCTATCTCAGTAATGAAAAATAGCTAAAGTTGATAAGCTTCTGTACAACTCAGCAAGTTTTGCATGTTAAATAATTGGATCAAAGATAGAATAATAGAAGTTTTAGAGAATCCAACGGGATGTCAGTCCATAAGATACCACTGCACTTCCTAAAAATATGGGATATCAAATTTCCTCACTTGCGAGTGGATCTCTCCCATTTACAGTTGCTAATACTGACACTACAAGCTTCGACATATTTAACATAAGAGTTTCTGGCACACCTGTAGAAAGAATAACAATTAAA